AACTATAAAACATTGTTGATAAGGTCTTGAAACAGATTAGTTTGTCTGTAAAATTTCATAATTTAAAGTAAGTTTCAGATAAATACTTAAGAAGCAAGAATGGATGATGATTATTTTTTCAGCAAAAAAAATCAAGCATTAGTGTTTGAAACAAACTTTTCTTGCTAAGAATTAAATTGTCAGTAAAATATATACCACAGACAAAGTGGACGATATTTTTAAGGAATCGTTTTATGTTTTTCTCAGTCATTACAAATACTAACCATTATATAGCATGTAACTTACACATGACTAATAAAATTGTGAAATGTTGTTAGTCTTGCAGAGCAGAAATTTAGATGCTGTGTTTTGTTGATAAATATATATATATATATATATATATTTCCATTTTGTTATTGATATGTATATAAAATTAAATATATAGAATTTTGCTCATTAGTTTTAAATAATGTTCAAAAGTGAAGATAAATATAATGGAAATTTGCTATTTCCCTAAAATGCTTAAAGATTCCACTGTTTTTTCTTCTTTTTTTGGAAGATTTATTAAGTGTTTTGTCCTTGTCTATGCTTCGTCAGTTGTTGTTCATATATTAACAGGAACAGTTTGTGTATAACAAGTACATTCTTATGTGTATTTAAACTAAAGTTTTTGTTTTCCATAACACACTAAGCTTATAATCAATAGCTCAAGAAATTGTTTAAATTATACTGTATCATTGACAACAATTACCAACAGGTAAAGCAACAATTTATATTGTCCTATCAACAGGTAAAACAACAAATTAAATTGTTTGCATGCAGTATGACCATTAATACCAACATGTTAAATTTTTCTGTATGATAAAGATTATTTTTTTAAACCATTAAAGTACAATTTGAATGTATATTGTTTGTACATAAACAAAAGCCACAGTCTGAAAGCACACTATTAGAGAAGCATTCATGGTAAAACACATTTTTATGATTCCTTAAAGGGTAATCATGAACTTTATATCTTTTACTTAATATATGTTTATAAAAAAGGTTTTCTTATATGAAACTTTCATCTGACCAGAAAATCTGGTTACATAAAATATATTTTGCTAATAACGATGAGTGATAAGACAACTTTTTCAATACTGAAAGTAACTGATAGCTTCAGAATCTGTTGTCTGTAAACTTTAAAGTTTAATATTTGTTAAAAACATTTCATTTTCTGTTATCACAGTGATGTCTATTATACAGTTACCTCTCAATGTATAGCTTATAACCATTAGTAGCACGATGTAAACAAGATGTAGAGATTTCATCTGTTGTACAGGAGTTAACAGTACAATGTAAAAAGAAACAGTGAATTGCATCAGTGACAAAGGTATAAAAATTAAAGAATATGTTAAACAGTTTGAAGGTTTTTTTATCTTAAGAGGATGATGCTTAGCTGTATGATCTGTCCAAAATGTTGTCATCTTAAAATAAGTATATAAAAAACTTGATGATTGTTTAACCTATTCTTTAATTTCAATAGTACAATGTAAACCTGTTGTAGATTTTCATATTAAGGTATAATACTCAACAGCTTACAACAAAATGGAGACATGACACAGATTCCTTGTTCATAATGTACACAGTTTACAAGAAATTGTAAATTTAACAGAACACATGTTCTGTTTCAATATAATGCATGACAGTCAAAAACACAGTAGAGGCAGGAAATATTTAGCATGTAACAGTGTAACGAAAATGGAAAGAATTCTAACTTCTTTGCCAATGTAAGATACATTCAGTTAATAGAACAATAGAGACAGGATACAGATTCTATCCCACTGTCTTACATCAGAAACATAAAAGCACAGTAGAGACAAGATCTCAACTGAAAGTATAATGCACAATATAAACAGGACATAAGTTCCATCTCTGTAATCCATGAATATTAAAAGCGTGGCTTATATCAACAGACTTTTTATCAAAGTATAATCAAGATTAAAATATAAAAAACATTCCACCCCTGACAGTAAAGTTTGGTATTTACTGTTCCAATAGAAAAGCTCCCATACAATTATTAACAGTTAAATGTGGACAAGAAAAAAGAAACTGTGTTACAAAATAGGTATATTATGTTTGATTATAAATTCTATTAATACCTAATTTGATTTCATTTTGAAAAAGATCACAACATAGTATTTTTTAAGTGTTAACTAACTTCTTTCATGTTGTTCACTTTTGTTGATGTTTTATTGTTGTTTTGTAGAGCTCTTTTATATTACTAATAGTTAGAAATATATGTACTATAAATCATTTTGAATCCAAAATATGCTAGTTTTTAATGAAAGATTTCAAAAAATAGCTTTGTTCTTGTTTTCATGTTGTATTTTTACTCAGTACTACAGTATTTGGCATGAGTGTTTTTTTTGGGGGGGATATAAGTTAAATAATCAATATTCCTTGACTGTTTGATATCATTGATCAGCCATAGATACTGCAGATGTTGGTTTTAAAAGTTGTTGTTAATTAGTTGGTTTCTTTTGATAATACTGTTTTTCAACTAGTGTCATACACTTGCAGTTGAATTAGCATCTGGAGTCCAAGTTGGCCATTTCATAACATTTGTATTGTCAACTCTAGACAGTATATTTTGTCTTTATGTTGCTAAAGTTTCAAACAAGGGCCAATTAAATATTGTCCACTAGGTACTGTGTAATGAACCAGGATGTTGTGATACTGCTTCTTCATGATACCATCAATTTTGACATCATGTCCTATTTGTGCAATGTCAAAACACCCTCATTCCATTACAGATGCGTCATTACACACAAACACTTTTCTGAAAAGCTCCATTTTTGTTTTTACATTGTACCATTCATTCTTTCATTTCTTGTGATATTTTCTGCTGAGTTACAGATTGCATCAAATATACCTAACTGTGCTCACACACTAACTGTTCTGCTTTTTGTCTGCAACTTTTTCAATATAGACCAATTCTTTTTTCTTTCTTTTTTTTTTTTTTTTTTTTTGTAAATGTTTACAAATTGATCTGTTGTTGATTCGAAATTGATGCAAACCTTGTGTGTTTACTAGGGATGCACGGGTAATAAAATGTGGCCGAATACTGGGTCCGGGTACCCGGCCACTAAGCTTCAGGCGGGACTGGTCCCCCCCCAAAAAAAACAACAAAATACAACATACACAAAAATTAGAAACAAAAACAAAATTGGCGTTTATTACATTTAACCGAATAATCACCAACAGAAAATTATAGTTTTACTATCAACTTTCAAAATTAACTAACAAAAATGTGCACACCAGTTTGCAGAATGCCTGTATTTTTGGAATTTGTTTAAATTGTACTTGAAGAACAGTAACATTTCGGTGTTTTCGTGTGTGATAATGTTACCAGCAGCGCTTAATGCCCATTCGCTGTCTACACTGGTCGGTGGTGCGATGAGATAACAGTGATGTTGACATGTTTTAGAATCATTATTCCGATTAATGCCTAGCCCCCAACTTTTCAAACCCTAACCCCTATCATTCTCAAAAACTCTACCTTCCCCAGAAATCCACTTCACGACCCATGCCTGTTATTAATCTCTATTGTTCTGTGAATCCCCAACTTTCAGCTGGCGGTCAGTCTTTGTTGCTTGGACACGTTTTTTTAACTAACCCAGTTATTGACTGAAACTTTCAGTACCGCGTAAGTTGACACAAAGATTAGTGCTCAGATGTCATTTTCAATTACCCGGATTCGGTTGTTTTTAACTTCGACACTCGGCCTGTGCCGAGTATTACCGAGTAGCCTTATAACCGGCCGGAGCCGAATATCTGGCCGGATACCCGTGCATCCCTAATTTTTACATTTACTTTGGGGAATGTTTTGAATCATTTGATGGTAAATTCTTTGATTCTTTTGGGATAGTCTTTCTTATTGTCTTATATTGTACTCCTGATTATAACAATGTGCTCTAATGTTCTTTAAGCCACATCTTTGGAACAACACAAAATCTTTGAGCGATTTACCAGTTTTTTGTAGAGCAACGATTTCTGCTTATCTTTCACTGTTTTATTTTAAATTCTTTTATATATTTTAGCCATGTTGAAACTTACAATTCATTGGTCATTCACTGCTCTCAATGTAATTGAAAAATAAAAAAAAGTGTGAAAAATAAACATATTGAAGAGGTGTATGAGGCAAATTAAAAGTGGCCCTGCATTTTTCTGGGAGAAATTTTCCTAATTTTGATACATTCTTAATGGGACAGATTGAAAAGTGGACCCACCATGCTTCCTATGCCTCTGTATTGTTATGAAAACGTGTATCAATGGATGAAGTCCACATTTTATAATAATTGATTTCACACTTTTTATGAAATAAATAACTTTATATTGTAATTTCTAAAGGATATGTGGATTAAAGAAAAATGTGCATTTTGAAAACTATGTTCATTCATTCATACAGGTTTGTCTTGGAAAATGTTTTTTTGTTGTTGTTGTTCAATTCTAATATGATTGTATATATACATTCAGTAATTTGCTTTATTGTAGAAAGTTTATGTAAGCAGTTCTGAAATGATTTTTTGTCAAAACTAATTTTTTTTCATTAAGGTAAATCTTGTCAGGAATAACTTGTGGAATTTCTTGTGATTTTTT